TGGTTTGGTCGTGGAGCTTTCATCGCTCTTCTGAACGACATCATCAGCACAAACTTCAGATAGAAGTCTGAAGTTTGTGCTGATGATGTCGTTCAGAAGAGTGATGAAAGCTCCACGACCAAACCATCCAGCTCAGAGAACAAAACTCCACCAAAATCATCCACCTGAGCTACAAATCTTCTCCACCATAGTGAAAGCTGTCTCATATTGTAGTATATTTTCAATAATAAAATAGATGAATTATCACTTGACTATGCCTACATTTATTATCTACAAAAATGAATCTCTTAATGTTTCAGAATGAATTATGTTTGTAGAAAAATATTGGTTTGAGGATAAATCTAAAAATACATTTTGATCAAAAAATATTGAAAAATTGTTGAAAGCAACTGTAGTGCTCACTTGAATCGCCTACTGAACACCTTATATTTACTAAAATGATTGTATAAATTAAAAAGTGAAAAATCGTTAACAAATTATTCAAAATATAGTTAGCTTATAGCTACTGGTGACATTGAATCATCGGCGTCAGGAGCTCATATCCCAATAGAAATCGTCTAAGGAGAAAAAATTATTAGATCCAGTGTTATTGTAATCCAAATTGTAACATCATACATATACATAAATGACGCAATGTTTCATCGATTCTGAATTAAGGTGATTTTCTGATATCTAGTGAGATACTTTATAATATGTTCATACATAATTAAATATAACTCCTACAGATAGTGCAGATAAAGTTGTGAGTGCAAATATACACAAAATACTACTTTTTATAGGTAGAAGTAAGAATAGCGAGAGTGAGACAAATATAACCGATGTCATTATATTATATCAAAGCTAAATCAATAATTAACTGAAATTAGACTATTGACAGTTGCCTACCGATTCAGTGATGTTTACTTCATGAACAGATAATGTAAATGATTTGAAAAAATTAAAAATAAGAAGCCGTATAAATAATTGCATGAGGAATAGATTTCTAGTTCTTTTTACAGTTATCCAGCTGATATAAAAATAGCTTCCGGTGGGATGTTCATTAATGCACGCGTGGAAATATCAAGACTGTAAATTTTTGTTATTTATCATGGAATATTGAACAACTTAATTGTCGACCACCTGAAAATGCGATTTACATTCATCAGTAACTAACCCAGATAAAAGGTATCTAAGATACTTAATAAGATCACGGGACCAATGGCAAAGCAATAAATATCTTTTATGCAACCTGTACATACACATATTTCCAGTGAACTATGAATTTTTTACTATCATAGACGAAATATTGTCGAAGAAGTATACTACTAATAAGTAGTTTGCTACATCATGTAAAATTTAAAAAAGTAGGTAAAACAAGATTTGTAAAGCAAAATGAATCCATTCTATTTTTAATCTTCTCATCGTTTTAAATTTCATCCTCTCGTACTTCGTGTTACTGGTTTCTTCAATAGAAAACAATATTTACTTATCTTAATTCTAGTTTAAAACCATATTTGTGTACCTTTTGTCTTATTATGACTTTTTAGGTAGTTTCGAACGTCTACTTCAACTTCATTAATTAATATATGAAAAGAGTTTGTCTCTATTCAGTTTGCTTTTTAAAACTTTACTTTGTATGGAGGTGATAAAAAGTCCTGAAATAGAATGAATTTGTTTGATTTTGCAATTTCTATTCTTTTTTTTGATTATTTAAACTGATTAAATCAATAAAATATAAGAAATATACATTATCATTCAAGTAGCGTCTGAATGGTTACAGGTAAGGTAGTAGAGTATGGGTTTGTAGGTGATGTTACCAAACTCCCTATATTTACTTCAGTATTCATAAAAGGACTTCTATGATTTGCTATAATTTAATAAAACAACTTGATCATTATGTTATTAACTTTTTCATGACCCCATTGCAAATAATAATCTTATTAAACAATTAAATGATTTTTATCACTTAACATCAGAAATTATTCCTAACCTTTTTGACTTTGCAATTCATTTAAGACGCCCAAAAATAGTTAAACAATAGCGATAATATACTTCATGAAATGCTTATATTATCCATTAAGATAACAAACACAAAAGTACAATAAGTCATTGGTTGGATTTTGTAATTTCAAATAACACATTTCTTCACGTAATCATATCTTGGAGCGCGTCATAACTATATTGATATGATAAATGGTAAATGAGTTTGAAAGCTACAATGGTTTCTTAAAAAACTGATTGATAATTTAACGATTCCATATAATAAAAAACTGTTATTCTTTGAAGTGATGTTTTGGGTTGAGAGTAATTGTTACTCGGTTACACTATGTACATTAGCTCAGGCGACTGATCTCATAGAGTCATTAGGTTATCCTCTACTTTAACATACAACTACAAAATATTGGATTCACTTTTCTTTTATGTGAAGACAGGAGAGTAACCTCTTATTGATAAAAAAGACGTGACTTTAATTATTGAGTTGTAAATTCAAGACTTAGTTCATCTACTGCAGTTTGAATGACGAGGGAGTATCTTAAGTTTATCAAAAGAATGAATAAATAAGAGTTCGTTGTTAAAATGGACTAAATCAAATCAGAGTAAAGATGCAAATATATTATTACTTTGAAGTCACTTTGTCTTTAGAACAGTCATCCAAATAAATGGAGATAAATCTCAAAGAAGATGATTACAGATTAAAATAAAACATCAAGGAGAACAAGTAGAAAAATTGTATTTCCGACGTTTCGTGACTCAATGTTAGCGGCTTCTTCAGAGTGAACAAACAACGAAATCGGGATATGACGAATAATATATTTATTATCAACTTTCTAACCAGTGCTTAATTTATTTGAAATTATTAAATCCAACCTTGGGATTGATATCTACAAACAGAGAGAATGGATTACATTCTTTCAAGTATAAGCGAAAATGTTTGAATTTCAGCCTACTAATACTCGATAATTGTTTAGGAATTTCTTCGTAACTTGAAAGAATGAAGCATGTAACTACTTTAAAAAACCTGAAAAATGGGATTTATTTGTTATTTTTTGACTGATTCAATATAACCTCTTCCAATGAGTTACAGAAATTCAATCAAGTTTCAGTAAGACTATTTTAACTTAAGTAAAGAATGAACAAATATCTTAGCATTACAACATGAATTTCGTTAATTTCGTGGATTCTCTTTAGCTGCTTACAACCTAAAACTATTGTTTTATTCATTAAAACGAAATAAATGTACATACCTTGAATCAGAAACGTATGAAAGAAACTGAGTCAAAATATAGAGATAGAATAATATTAGGAGACTATAATACGGAATAGATGAATATTCTTGCTAGGTATGAAGCGGTTACGAGTCCACTTAGACTGCGAACGGAACAAAGACTCAGTGACCTAAAAACAATAAGCAAGTTATTTGATGCGCCTCAACCCAGCTAACTAGAGGAAGAAGTTCAAGCTTGGTATAGGGGAAGTATATTCCGCGAACAGCCAGACACGAGCGATAAGAACAGACACAAATCAAAACGTACATATACAGCACAAATCCGTCCTTGGGGAGAGTTACAAAATAGCATACTAAAAGACACAACGGACCAATGGCATTAAGGATTCTCTCAAGTGGGACTTAGGACATGTAGGTGAAGAGAGCGGCTTTGGCACGAAAACAAAAAAGTTCGAAATTTCTAAATAAAATTACAAAATTAGGTCCTTTTCCCAGTGAGTTCTGGGTATCTAACGTCCCCAGCAATTCTATAAAAGTACGGAAACAGAAATGTTTACCCTGATGACGTTATTTTCTATGAAATTATTATGTAAGACTTTGTTTTCACTTTCACATGGTCTCTACATAATCTAATATCTTAATTCTTACTACTGAGATTTACTCAACTAGTCTATATATTACATAATCTACCTTCTGTTTCGAGTAGAAAAAATTCTGTTACCATACTTTTCTAGAATATTCATACATTTGATCTATAAATGAGCGAACATTTGAACAATTTTAATTTTCCCGTATTATGGTCTCTTATTATTATTCTATCTCAGTTTACTTCTCACGTATGTAGCATAACGTATCTATACTTTGTTCTTTGCCTATTCAAGCTTATAAATGGAGAGTGTTGCATGAAAGACTATGTTATAGTACATCGCTTTTCAAATCTTTATAAATCATAGCTCACTTGAAATCCGATAACCCTAACTCAAATAGCTTTCTATCTGTTGAAATTACTTTGTATAGGTATCGTTAATATGGGTGTTTATCAAGAATATTTTTTGTTTTACATCCTTAACAATGTTCACTGAACTAACCTAATAAATCAGTCATTAACTTTATAGAAAACAGTAGGATGTCGATCTCCTGAATTGCTTTACTTACAAAATATGTAATACTCAGTAGCTAAGTGGACAACGAGGTGGCGTTTGAAGCGAATGTCACTGGGTTGGACACCCAGAGTAAATATCAACTCTGAGATGCAGGCCCATCCAGCTGAAGAGTCCCAAATAGGACAAAACCCGCGTCTTGGATTCCACCGATAGCTACTATCCATCATTGCTTACAAAAAGCTTGTGAATGAAGGTAATATCGAGGCATACGCACAGTATATACATATGCCAATAACAGACTGATCAATTGCAGTCTTAAACAATACCAAGTGAAATTATGTAATGTGTTTACAGTATCCATCCAAGCTCAAAGCTCTTTAGCATTATTTTTACCAACATCAAGCTTTACTATAAAACATAACATGTTTTATTTCACTAGTATTTACACTTTTTAGTATGTACCTAGATGTTTATCGTTAAATTCATAAAGCACTAACAAATCTGTTATGAGTCAGAGTTATAGACCCCCTTAGGTTTAAAGATGAACCAAGATTTATCATATGTTTAAACAAATGTAACATGTACGATGACGAATACCATTGGAGTTTCAACAAAAAAATATTAATGGGTAACTTAACTGATTTTCACATAACTGAACGATCAAACAGTGAGAATGAGGATAAAATCACAATAATTATTAAATACATTATTCATCATTGAAAAGAAAATTGGACCACATATATATGCCATTGCATTATTCCTTTTTAACAAAAAAAAAACACATTTTATGCTTGGACAATAAAATAAATTAAAAACAAAAAAATAAAACAAACATGTTGAATATACTGTAATACAAATATTAGATTTTCTTAATGTGTAAATGATAAGAACTTTACTAAAATAGATCGTTTTACTATGTTTTTCTCTTTTGTTCCCCCTCTTTATTCATTCCAAGGTCAGGCACAAAATATTCACAGAAGAATACAAAAAAAAAGCACAAAAGAAATATAATTGAAGCGAATGATTATGATTTTAGTTTAGTTTCATCATATAATTAGAAGAAAAAAAAGGCTGAAACAAGAACTAACGAAAAAAAGAAAGAAAGAAAGAAAAAAAAGGAATAAAAATTATATCCACTACTAATCTGATTATAGACCATAATGAAAAATCTTGAAAATTACAAACGATTATGTAAGATCACAAATTCAATGTTCATTAATTTGATAGGAATTGTTGATTGATAAAGATCATCATGTATGAATGTAAATGAATTTACACATACACATACAGATATATGTATATATTCCATACAAATAAGCAAATTAACATTTACACATATAAGAGTATATCATCATATGAATACATTTAGATTGAAAGTTTATATTTTCCCTTAATAAAAACATTAAACAAACATGCACAAGCACATTCATCTATTTAGGAATATATTGACATCATTAAAAGACATTAATTATCAAGTATTGGAATTGAGCTTAATCACGTTTCATTTATTTGCATAAAAATTTGTACGAATAATAATAATAAGAATAATAATAATGATAACAATAAAGATCATTTCAACAACAAAGACGATAGTGATAATACTGATGAAGAATTGTTTATGTGAAATTGCCCAAATGATCCAAAATGGGAATGAGATGAAATAATAAGAAAGAAACATGACGTTTTGTTTAAAATTATAATATGTAATAATATTTACCAAACATGACATTTCTTTACAGGATTCATTGGTGATCCTGCAGGACAATTGAAAACTTTAGCAAATTCATTTGAATTTGTTATAGTACCAATTACTCTACAAGTAAAGAAAAATGTGTGCAAAACTTTAGTCGGTAACAGTTTTTGTTTAAACGTAAATCAACTGTGATTGGAATAAAATTGAATTTCGAAGAATGTTGTGAATGAGTCAGATATTTAAATAACAACGAGATGATATCATGATCAAGTATAGAAACAAACATCTTAAAATGTGTGGAAATATTCTAGCACAAGAAAACGTTAGAGATGAAGTAAGAAAGGTGAAAAACTTATCAATCGGTCAACAAAGACTATTACATAAATTGTTAAACTAACGGTAGCCAATTACATGAATTAGTGAACACTTTTCGTAAAGTTTCCGTGATGTTTCTTAAACTATTTACTTTTAATACAACATCATAGTTATCTAAACTTGTATAAAATATGTTTCAGCTATTTGAGGCAGCACAGTCTAATGAAATTAAATGTTTGAAATTTCTTACTTAAAACTCATTTAAGGAATCTTAAACATTGAATATTTGGTTATATCATTTATTTCGTCTCATCTTTGAGATGTAACTATGATCTATATAGTCACTTTTCAGCTAATAATTGCAAATGTATTAAGGTTTCATCAGTGCAATCTAATATTTCAATATTGGATAATAATATTATTTAACTAAACACAATAATATTAGTTCCTAATTGTTTACGTGAATTTTGTATCAGTACAACAAGGAATAGATCATTTTAAACCGTTGATATTATAGTAAAGTGTACAAATATATTATTTTTAGGCATTTTCTCTCATTTCTCTTCAGTGTTTCCCGATTGTCAAAATGCATTAGTTACTATAAGATGAGACATCCTTTAAAGATATGACATTTAGTGAGTTTCCATCTTAACATGTTTAAAATTAATCACCAAGAAGCGGGATCTTTTAGATAGTATTTTAGTTGCTGTAAACATGCAAATTACAGGCACCATTCATCATACAGATGAAACTACATACTTGTGGTAATGTATAAGTGATGCCAAGTCTTATGAAATATAAATTGGATTCAATAAAGTAGATTTGATTTTCATTCAACTGGTATAAACTTAATAGCACTGTTTCTTGAGTATAAATAAATTAGTTGAAGTTAGACATTAACACCGTTGGATGCCGACTCAGTGGTCTAGTGGTTAAGTGCTCACGCGCAAAACCAGTAGGTCCTGGGTTCGAATCTCGCAGAGGGCGACATCGTGAATGCGCACTGCTGAGGAGCCCCACAATTGGACGAAACAGCCGTCCAGTGCTTCCAAGTCTTTCATGGTGGTCTAGCTTCAACTGACTTATGATCTTAACCATTGAAATTATTACAGTCTCCACAAAACCCATCTGATATAAATAAATAGTTGGTACAAAAGATTTGAAAATCCAAAGTACGTCAATACTTTTGTTTTGTTATTTTTGGATCAAAATGATCTGATTTCCTTTAAATATGATTATAAATGCCATGACTAAATTCAGTAAACTAATTAGATTTACTTGACTAGAACAGTGAATAATAATAACAACAACAACTGTCTCCTAGACAACGGGTAATTCTAAATTATTCAATAAAATGGTGAATTATTTAAAATATCCTGAAACAATTATCAAGCTATAGTTTGTATACACTTAGCCTGAGTAGTTTCTCAATTTAAAATAGGGAAAGTTATCAATTAGTTGTGGAATGTTTATGATTCACGAATTGCACTGGTTTGAACTTTGAACTTTCTAGTTTTACCGTGACAGTCGTAATATTTAGCTGATGATTCAGGATCATATATTACTTGTTTTACAAATTCTGTCGATACCCAATTCAGCACTACTATTACCCGGAAAAGTTAATGATCATTTGTGTGCTTCTGATTTAAAATTCACCACAGGTTTTCACCACACAAAAGATTTTGAAATCTATCTTGAAGATAGCCATTTATAATGAATATCATAGAGTGGTCTATTCATAGGGTTATTGATGGAGGGTCTCATAAATAATAATCATGTAAAAATTAGATAACACATGACAGGAATGAGATATGTGAATGTGAGATGTTGAAGAAAATTTGTTGCTCAGGTGGGTGATTTTGAAGTGTTCCAACACTTCACTTCTACATGAAGTTTGTGGTGATGATGTTGTTCAGAAGAACGATAACAGCTCCACGACCAAACCGTCCAGCTTAGAAAACAAAACTCCATCAAAAATATGTGAATGTAATTACTTTAACAGAGCTCGAATAAAATATCTTTGATTGCATTTTTAAAATATATAGATTTGTATACTACCTTAATAATTCTTATAAGATTCAGATTATAAAATTACCTGTACTGCTCCACTGTATGAACATCAAAAAGCACAGTATTAAGAATTGATTGAGGGAGGCTTTTAATGCACCATAACTAAAATTTGGAGATAAATTTGGGAATAAATTAATATAATACAATTTACATACCAGTGTGTTTAACATAAATGTATAGATCAACTTTTAAAAAATAGACTACATGTAACCATCAAATCAGTAAAACTCAAGTAATAAAGTATGCTAGTTTTTTATACATTTTATAATTGATATGCAAAAATCACTGATACACTACAGAATTTATTGATAACTGAAAGTTTTGTCAGAATTAGTCATTAAGACTGACATATCAAAGTGTTTAATAATCATAAAATAATGTTTACAGTGACTATTTGATTAAAGATATCAGTTAATTCAATAACTTCACAGGTTTCAGCTTAAAATTTAAGTCTTCAATAATTAACCAAACTTGTTTTATAATTTAGACTTGACACCAAAAATTGTTAATTAATAACGGTGTTTAGAGAAAACTTATAGTAGCTAAATTTAAAAATGATGAGGCACAACACTAATTGCTTTTAGCATTGATGATGAAACGTATAGGTGAAATGTTTTGTTTTTCAATGTATATCATTCTAGTTTTCATTAATTTTATATACTGATTGATTGACCATAATAAATCACAGTATGTACTCAATCTAATATATATAGATTTTCAAGATAAAGACGGAGCTATAAATTTACCTGAAGATATTGACCGTAATATAGTCTAATTCAACAGCTTGATAGGCTTCAGCTTAGATTTTAAATTCCCAATATTTAGCCAAACCTTTTATGATAGACATTTTGAAAATATGATTATCAATATCACAAAGAATTATAAACTATTTATTTTGGACTACTGATAATGTTTTTAGTTTTATTTTCTTTCAGCTTCGTTTGAAATTCATTTACCGTTGGTTCTTCAATCGATGTGTTTGAACTTTCTATCTTTTTCTTAATAAACACTTCTAGTTTTAATACACTGGTGTGTATTTTAGGACTTGGTAGTAAATTATTAGAAAAAACCGTTATTTTTTAAACGGAACTATAAATTACAACTTAACAAAACCATTTGTATTCGGATATAATTCATAACCAGGAATCAGTTTAGAAAAAAATATAAATGAAAGATTGCCTGGTCTCATTCTCTCAGTGTCACGACAATTTACATGAGTACAAGTTTCAAAATACAAAATTAGTGAGATTTTTTTAAATAAACGATTGAAAGTTACATGGAAGCACTATGTAACCATTGAACAAGAAAAAAACGATGTATACACATCAATACGAAATGTTTATTTGGATTGTTTAATTTTAGCATGCATTGAAAAACGGCTAAAAGAAACATTGTATGCATAAAAATCACAGGAATATACCTGTTAGCCAAAAATATGAAATATGTAGGTACACTACATCAGTGAGGCGATGTTAAGTAAATAACCACTCTTTGGTATCATAAAAATACCCTATATCTGTGAAAAGTGATCTTAAACTATCAGCTATCAAAGCTTTCCAGCTGTGCACGTACTATGTTGAAGAAAAAAACATAAAAATTGAATCATTATAAAGTTTATGACCAGTCGACATCATTGGCTTTAATGGTGGTCAAATCAATTTGCAGTACAAAATTATAGTTAAACCAATGTTTCTTTCGACAATTCCTTTCATATCATAACGTTTCTTCTAAATCAGGAACATTGTTCAGATTTAAGTATTCTGTTTTGAAGGTTTATGATACTAATCGGTTACCAAGTGTGATCTAAACTCTAAAAACGATAACCAATGAGCGATTGGTTTGTTTCAGTAAAAATTGATCTGAAAAATTTTCGTCGATTTAAGTCAAAGGTAAAGAAAACATTTTTAGTTCAGTTCACATAGTATTCCTGAAAACAATCCATCTTGTTTTACTTCTGATGGTTGACTAAGAAAAGTCAATCCATAACATAAAGCCAATCATTTTAGTTCATGTTATACAAGTTAATTTTAATCCAACCTTAACTGGCCTTTTTTTTCAGTTTAGATAAAACGTTCATTTTAATTTTCTAAAATGAGTCATAGAGTTTACCTACAAGTTATCGACTTATTACTTGACAATAATCTACTGATGAATTATGTTGTTTTTGTAGTGTCGATCACTATGTTAAGCCCATATAACGTATTCTAGCTTCTGGACAGGCCAATCTGTCCCTTCTTCTTGAGTCACGTTTTGACCTTGTTAATTATTCACTTATCAATCTTGACTGTTTTTATATGAGCCTGATCTCTTTTTCTTCCCTTCTTTTGCTACGTCTCTCCGTTTATCTATTCCTATCAACGATTGTACAAATTATATGTATTCAAAAATCCATTCTCATATTTGACTTATTTAATTCCGTTATACACTAACGTGGATTAAGTCGTTAACTATATACGAGAATAATCAAAATGTATATTTCAGTAACGATCATTCATACAATCCAAATTGGAGTCAGATACAAGGACCCGTTAAGGTAATTCTCGAAACGTTATTTATGATAATTTTATTTACCATTTAATAATGGTCCATAATACTTGTAAATTAATATTTAGAGAATAATCAGTTTGTTAATTAAATTCCATATAACAGGATATCATAAACTATTTATCACTTTAAATTAATGATAACATACCTGGGCAAATCCAATGAAAAATAACTGATCTGGAGTGAATTTTAAACCAGGCAATATAGGTTTGTCGGAATATTTGGCTTCCAACTTTTTAAATGCCTATAATTAATAGGAAACAAATATAGTCGTAGAAAAGATTTAAGGAATGAAATTGATTTATAGATGATATATCGAGTAAAGTGTAGCTTAGACAGACATAACTCATATGTTGCATAAGATCGTTGAACATTGCAATAAATTATCAAGCTACTATAAGTAACTACAAAAGAAAAGAATAAATAATATGGGATAATACTAAGCTTGTAATTTACGGCAATACAGAAAATGAATGGATCTAATTAACTGAAATCGAATTTGGATTATAACATATACAATCCATAAGAACAGATTAACTCGTAAAACAGAAAATTTGCATCTACCTGTACATATCAAACTAACAACAAATAAATTTCTGAACTGCTTTTTATAACTTTTTCTGGTTACCAATGAGCAGTTTTTCTCTTATTTATATGTTAGCTAGAATAATATTATAGGGTAGGCAGTGGATGAATGTGTATGACACATGTTCCAAAATTTGAATCAATGAAAATTAAACGCTGGTCCCGATATCAGAAGGTCCTAGACTTAATCCCTGATAGGGTTATAGACTCTCATATTACGATGGAAAAGCTTTCCAGTGCTTCCTGATTTTTATTGGCTGGCTAACTGATGTCAATCAATAACGTGAAAGTTTAAATAACTATGTGCTAACTAGTGACTAGCCTTAATGCATTTTCATTAAAACTGGAGTGATAATTCGAGAAATAATAGTGTCGAGCAATCCAAATGTCAGATAGCTAACCATTGACATTATTGGATTAAGGTTTATCTAGAAATAAATAAATTTCATCGATTAGCATCAATGGTCAATAATAACAGCCCTAGATAAGAACTCTCTCAATTTTTATATTTTTATGCTAACGGTTATAATTAATGGATACATTCTATTCAAAGCAACACACGAAAACTTTCACAATGATGAAGGTTTAGAAAAACGTTTTACAATACATTAAGCATTTGTTCCGTTATATAAACAGAATATTCATTTATTTTCAACGTAACTACAAATACAGCTTACTTTATAGGCTGCTTTAAGACCTCCGTTATCAGCGATGTTTTCACCTAATGTCATTTTTCCATTAAGCTATGAGATAAGAAAATTGTAATAAAATAATGAAATAACAATCTGTTAAAATACCACAAAGAATATGAATCAATTTAAAATCAAGTCCATTTTTACAACTTAGAATCACATCGATGATTAAGTTCACTGTAGAAGAATATATAAACAAAATTTTATATGCAGAAATTAATAATTTATTTTAATTTCAATGGTTGTGATCATGAGTCAATCGAATCTAGACTACCATGGAAAACTTGGAAGCATTGGACGGTCGTTTCGTCACATTGTGGAACTTTCCATTCACGATCCAATATATTTTAGCTATTTAAAATGTTTAAATGAGCATTTCACATCTATATTTAATTTGTAAAACATTTTGTAATAAGTTACTATGCTTCAACATCACAGTAAAAATTAAATTTATCCAACCACTTGTATACAGTTTATATATGTGAGTTCTTCACTTGTTTAACAGATTTCGGAAAGGCATTTTTATTTGTGCCATCTTTATTCATTTATAGAGACTTCCAGTCACTATCGTGATTGAAAAATGTATTCGAAATTCGTACTTATATAAATAATTATGTAAATAACTCATTTCTAGTGTTTTTCATCAGAGTTGAGCATAGTATTGAGTTACTGGATCAGAAACTTTGAAAGTTACCTCTGATGTGAAGCGGAAAACTCGTTGAAATGGGAAAGCAAATAAACGTGTGATCTATTATACTTGGGAAATTCATTAAAATACTTAGATTCCAGTTGTAATTAGTTATAACTATGGTATAAATTCTAAAAAGTTAATCCGTTTCTTAGGAAATTTGCTTAATGAAATGAGAAGACGATGATTACCAGAACTATGTGATATGTTTGGGCATTACATTTCAAACAGTGTGATCACACATATACTTGCTAAGGTATTTTACGTGAAAGATCAACTGGAAAAATTGGAAGGTAAAAGGAAGGTAGAATAACAATAGAGTACAAGATATGAAAAACCACGTTGGATGATAAATTAATATTATGAGGGTAGATTGAATGAGATTTACTGTTTTGCATAGCCAAGGTTTCAGTGAACCTTAGTGTACATCCTTGAGTGCTTTTGTATAACATTATAGACGATGCCTTGATATCAACCCTTTGGGCCGCCACAACTAAATTTTTTCATGGTAATGAAAGATATTTGTCCATCCCGTGGTCTAATTTGACCATAGGAGTTCATTTGTTTTTGTAGCTATCTAGGTATATATTTAGGCACTCTTACATGTAGACCATGTTTGATCCTTTCTACTTGTGAGTTACTGTATATATACGTAAGTGGATAGACTCAGTGCAATGTGAAAACGTCATTGAAATATTGTTTGTCTTTGGTGAAACATAGACATGGACTTCTCACTAATGAAGAGTTGGGCTAGGTTAAATATCTTACTGAATATTAATCTAAGTCTTCATTTCAACATAAGACTATTTAAGTCATTTGTAAATGGTAAGATAATACAGACTAGTTTTTAGATTCAAAAACACATTAGCCCTCGTAATAGAACTGCTTTTTGAAAGGTTTATAGAGTTTAATAAATAACCATCATTCATCATTGTTTCGGTTAAAAGCTATACGTCTCCAATTATATCACTAGAACAATTATGATTGATCTTATTGAGTAGGCCTTTTATTAACCTACCTAGTTCTGATAACCATCATCATCCAATCGCATTGTTCAAACATAACGATTATCTATTTGAATAAATCAAACTTGGGAATTCAAAAAGTGATGACAAAACTATTATTAAATAAAACATAAATAATAGTTCATATGTTAAAATATACTTACACTTGTATTAAGAATTGAATAATTACTATACTGATCAATCATACATTGTGAATTTTTTTCGAAAGCTGACAATGTTTCTGCACTCCACCAGTCTCGCATATTTCCTTTAGCATCGAATTTAGCACCTATGAAAGTGTAGAAAAAGTTGTTGTTTCAATATGGCATTCGGGTTAATAAAGTTGTCAAACATTTAAAATTAAATGATATACGAAGGAATTCAACTGTTATTGTTTGGTATTTTAAAGAATTCTGTTCAGGTAACATCAGTTACCGATTTAGTCAAAACAAAAATTATTAATTCATTATATTTTACGGTTTCTCATCAGCTACATACAACCTGAAATCACAATTATTAACATAATTATTAACAAATGTTTAGCTTATAAGCAAAGATAGATAGTGACTAAGGAGAGGATACAGGCCACGCGTTTCATCCTGTTTAAGACTCATCAGCTGGATGTACCTGCATCTGAGTCGATGTTCATTCTGGGACTCGAAACCAGTATTGTTCGCTTCAAGTGTTTTATAAAAAGGAATTTTTAATTTACGTTAATTTTCAATTATATGTAAACGTCTAATTCAATTAAGATGAAACAAACTATTTGTAAATTTCCGTCTATGCTTTACCGGTTAACTGATTCATGTAAAATGAGCTTCTCAAATTTTAAAATAAACTGAAGATGAACAAAAGTACGTTTGTTTCGTACTTAACAATTGTTCGGGGTTTCTAATATATCAGACGCCGTGTGTATTTCCGAACATACACATTACTTAATATTTAATAGTTAATCCGAATGGAATCTAAAGATACCACATTTATAGTAAATAACGTGCTGTTTACTAACAAAAATGAAATGAAGCTTTAAGTGAAATACATGAATCAATGTGTATATGATGAAGACACTTTTGATACACTAAAGAATTTCTCGGTTTTGTCAAATAAATAAAAAGGATAGTTTATTATAGAAATTCGAAATATGGATGAGAAATGGTTTAGTAAAACAAAAATGTTCATAAACTTAGTGCTATCTAAAACTGACTTTAAAATGAACAAAGATAATTTTAATAAAGTTATATTTACTACATATTATATCTGATGCAACTGAAGCAATGATTTTGAATAGCTTTTTTATGTTGAAAACCTTACCCGTACCTGGAGATACCAAAGCTTGATATGTTGAAGTTACGTAACTAAGACAGTTATAACTGAAATTAACTCAGTTATCTCAAGAAGTATCGGTCTACTTAAAACATCAGATACACAATCATCCTCATATATCGAAATGAATCTTTATTTGGAACGTATGAACCAAAGTTAGTGTTTTAATAGTGTGAAATTAAAAAGAATTAGGTACCTATATAGAGTGGGAGAAAAATATATATAAACGTACATCTTAGCTGCAAATAGTTTTATAATTGTTAATGCACGTAATATTGAAAAACTCATTATTGCAACACATTTCATTACTCGTCACAATGATACTGGGATGATATTGTTTGTGATGATTTGTAGAAACCCTATAGATATGATCAATTATATCATATTGATAAGAAGTAACTTCTATTTCAAGCGAACGTAATGTCTTTTATGAATTCGAACCAATGTCTATTTTCTTACCTAAAACTGCCTTGGGTTTTGTTGCATGATTTTAATTGCCTTCCGACTACAATTGATCATTTAAGAAATTTGTTTCCTCATCGTGTTCCATCAAGAATTTATCTCAGTTAGACTATCATTAAAAACCTGGAAGAACTCGATACATGCTTAGTACTATTATGTTACACCCATATAGAAGAAAAACATATCAGCTTATTGTTATATCTTGTGATTGCAGATTGGAGCGCAGCGTATTATCGATCAAATCTGTGACGCACAAACCATGTACGAACGGCCTAGAGTCCTGATTGGTCCCGCTTCCCTGTCTAGTCCAGCCAGTTGAGTCCAGAACACAAATCTCAGCCTCTGCAATATGAATCACGCATTTCAAACATACTCTGCTGATATACGAATCAAACAGACCATAACGTACCAATAAAATATGAAAATAACATTTGTACAAAATTTGGCCAAATGTGGCTGTGAATGAGGGAGGTAGTGATTAATAGACAGGGAATAATTCAAGAATGGTAAATCATACAACAATAGTCCATAGGTCAAAATAAAACTTATAATAAGAGGGGCATGAATATGAACAGTTTAGTTACATGACAATTATATGATAAAAATATACTCATAATATTGGTCCATAAATGGATCTCAAAAATTACCATTCATTATTCTTATCGGGATACAACACTTATATAACTGATAATAAAAACCCTATGATGTTTAACATTATTATACATGAGTACATTTCTAGCACATACACTTCTAGTAAATATTGATCAACACTTAGAACCAAAGAATATTCTTTTTTAGTTAGATAACAAAGATATGTAATACATAATGAGTTAGATAGATATTAACACCTTATAAATGTGGTAGTAAGTAGAGTTTCCATAATTGAACTGTAGTGAACAGTACACGGATGGGGATAATCGAATTATATTTAGCACAAAATTACAGAGTTACTTGGTAAAATAGAAAATCCATACTATAATACTTAATTTGCAAAATGTTCAATAATTGTCTCGAATGTCATTGTTCTTGCATTTCTATGCTAATCACTTTGTATTCCCGCTCTTCCTCTCTTGATCTTCCCTAACTTCTGTCACCAGGCATAACATACCTGACTCGCGTCATATACTACTTATATCAATATAAGTAGCACGCACCATAGAACTACTCTATTAACATCATAGTATAATTTTATAAAAAAGTCAGATATCTATATTACACATCCAAAACTGACACAGTTGTTTCTTCTTGTCAAAAATATACATCTAACAACTAAAAAACGAAAGGATTATTATTTTTATATCTCCTATCGTATTTCAGTAGTATTTAATTCTTCGATGAAAAAAAGTTTTTTTAAAATTATTAATATTTTATGATAATATCTCTTATTTATTTCAATGATTTGATATTTTATACTTAAAAAAATGATAACTATTTATATCATTTAATATTTAGTTTAACACTTAGACAATTATCATTTCGATGTATACACATGATCAATCGATGTATATATAAATAATGATTATATGAATCTACTTATTATTATTAACTTATACTACTGTACACAGATAAATAGTAGTACAATTCAGTAGACACTCATATATCCATGAAAACAATAAATAAATAAAAAAAACAGAACAAGTTAAAGAAATACATAGACATAAATTAAAACAAAAATTTTTTTTAATTTTCCAAAATATATTGTATAATTATTAATAATTATAGAAGTATAATAAATTAGAAATCAGTAGACAGCTGTTTATTCTTATTAATGGACAAGCAACAAATCTTTTAGGAAAGTTTGTATTTATTTTTGCAGAATATTGTTATCAGCTAAATATTTCAACAATTTTTTTCTACTGATGTTTTTTGTTTCTTAGATTTTGTTTTTCTTCCTTTTTTTTCATTACATTGAAGTCAATTGTATTTAGTCATTAGCAAGTGGTCTGAGTCATGTTGGTAGGTGTAGACTACCTGGTTGGGGACCGCGAGATGATAGCAACCGATGGTTAGAGACTCTGAATGACATGGCTCAAAATCATTTGCAATGGTGAAGGTGCATCCACTCTTTGTGTTCTCCCAAATTCTAATCTTCTGAATTCTTCATGTCTTTTTTTTCCGCTTTCCAAATTTATTTCACTGAATTATACTCATTAAATAACATCTCCAAACCCTAATCTTCCCGATCACTGCTTACACTCTTGTTACCTCTACCACTAAGGGATTTGCATCGACAACTGCATCTCTGTGTTAAGGTGGTGTGGCAACTCGAACTGATGTACGTACGTACGAAGTTCTACGTTGTTACTGACTGACTGACTGAGTCATTAGCATTATAGATTTATAAAATAATTATTTAATGCTTAAATATGATTTATGAATTTAATTCTCTAGAAATAGTAATTCATTTTAATTTATTTTGTATTGGATCTTCTAATTGATGTATAGGCTTGTAATTGATTATTCTCTTATTAACATATGTGCATACTGTGAAGATTTCTTCGATAATGGCTAGCAGTGGAATGCAGATTGAGTGTTTCGTTCTATTTTTGGACTCGTCAGCTGGATGTATCTGCATCTCAGAGTTGATGTTTACCTCATAACTCGAATGTAGACATGCCAGCTTCAAATGACATTGTGTTCTTTACTTAGCTATTGTGCTCAGATAGCCACTAGCTTATGCAATTGGGTGAAGTTTAATTCATTTTGTATTAATTGTATGAATCTTCCCATTGTTACTTAAGACTACAATTGATCAGTCTCTTATTGACATATGTATATCCTGTGAAGATTACCTCGATATTGTCTGAATTCATATTTATGAAATGGACATTAGTTTAAAGAAATATATATTGTTAATAAAAATATCTACTTTAAATAAGTTTGAATATATGATTCTTTCTTTTTTAAACTGATTTTCGATGTTAACTAAACAGATGGTAATTAATTGCGGTAAATGTTTTTTAAAAGTCTTATGAATTTCACACCTTTTAATCTTTTTAAAATGATAATTTCATTCCATTGGTTAGTCGTAATCAGTGATCATATAAAATAAACAAAGTTTGTTTCACTACTGGGCTTATTAAATGAATTATTGCTTCCTGTAATCAGTGGTGTAACACTTTCATTCAAGAGTTAGTTATAATATCAATCATTACCTTCATGTTCAAAGAATTATTTTCAGTCAAAAAAAGATTAGATGTTATTCAAGTCCTAAACATAATATGGTTGCGCATAATTATGGATCGATTGAAGTTAAACATTACCACCTTGGGATGCTAGCTTAGTGATCTAGAGGTCAAGTGTTCATGCATGAGCCCAAAGATTTGGGATTTAATTCCCACATACAAAATCTTGGATACACACTGATGAGGAGTCCCATACTAGGACAAAACCACCATCCATTACTTTCAGGCTTTCTCAATGATGGTTAGTTTTGTTAACTGAGTTATATTTTATTAAATGATGATTATATTTTGTTAAGAAACGACTACATCAAACAAACTCATAAGTTTTATGTTTAACTCCTTGTAAATTAGTCGTTAGGCATAATTTGAAATTTTTTTAGTAATGATCAAATAAACACACACAATGTTTTCTGATTTTCAATAATTTACTATCTGATACTAGTTCATAATGGAAACTATCTTTAATTTGAATAAATCAACATAAGTCGGCAAAATTAACTAAACGATGTATCAATTTACTTCATTTTATCTTCGATCATACAAAAACAAAATCTCACATAAATCTGCATACTTACGAACAATTTGCACAAATTAGACAACAAAAAGGTAGCCGTGTTGATGGAATAAAGATAGTTATATTTTAACTTATTTCACTAGAAAAATACGCTTAATGGAGGTTAGCATATGTAAATGTTCTATATTGTACACAAACTAATTATTCAGTAACAGATAAATTAGTTTGTTAGCTAATGTCTTAGTATTAGACTGATTCCCATATCTTAAAAGTATAGTTAACAACTAAGATTTACATTCTTCAAAACTTATAAATTAATTTTCAAACACTTAGATAACTAATCTTTAGCTCTTAAAAGGTAAATTGTTAAAGAATTAAAAGTTTAATAACAGATTTGAATATTTGGATAGAATTCTAGCCAATTTGGTTTAAACAAGTATGTTCCTCAAACATTTTACCGATGAATGTATTAATGATATCAGTAAATCCATTCATGATGAATTACTATACTACGGTTAATAAAGACGTTTCTATTATTTGATTGAATAATAGTCTTTTCTTATCTACTTAAAGAAGCAATTCCTAATGTTTAACTAAACAACTTAACTAAGCACTAAAAACATGTTGTCACATTTATTTTTTGACGATAGTTTACATCAAAATTTTCCCAAGTTTAAACACTTTGATTTACGTTGGACAGCGACGTAAATGATCTTCACAACCGTTGCATTCTGTTCAATATTGATTGACAACAAAAAGCGTTACGAAGGTACAATTTCAGAGTCATGATTAGCATAGTTCTAACTTGATGAGAGCTAAACCGATGCAACTGATGACAGATGAATGATTATACAAATTGAATGAGCTTGAAAATTTCACCTTTTCGATGTTAATTCATGTTTCAAACTCAAGTTCAAAACTCTCTATTTAGGTTCTGTTTAGTCTGATAACCATTAAAATGTATCAAACTAGGACAGAACAGTTACTTAATATTACACTTGGTTTTTAGTTTTACCCATCTAAATTTTATAAGTGATGTGAAATATCTTCAAAACAAATTATCATCATAAACTTATCATCATTAATTGTTTTAGTTTTGTATAACCCTTCTTTTTAGATTGTTGAAAGTGTATTATTCTTACAAAATAGATTAAGAAATGTAATGATGGAAAATTCAAAATCATTTTTATATCCGCCATTCTATAAAATGTACAAGTGTAGTTTTAATACTAAGAGTTAAGGAATGAAAAAGTGTTTGGTGTATCAAGAGCATTGAAATCTTTTATATGGATAAATCAGTTTATCATAATTCTATCAAACTAAAAATGAAACAAAATGCATTAACATAAGCTATTAACTATATTTTCTTTACAATAGTTTGTAAATATAACGTTCTCTGTAATCAGATTGTACAACAATATTTCAATATAAATTTACTTATTATATGAACTTATTAGCAATACTCATTTACAGATTGAAATAAATGCATCTTCTGTAGAGAATTAAAAATTACCTCTTCTAGAGCTAAACATTACAATGTTGATATAAATGAATTTGACTATTTCAAAATAATATTTCTTCATTTGTTTACCTTTTTACATCTATTGAAACACATCATTACTGACCATATCATTCACACACTTCATCACTTATATTAACCGCTTCTAATATAAATGAATAGGAAATATGATATATTATTGTTATACTCTTACCATGTTGATCAAAAGCATGAGTTATTTCATGTCCAACAACCATACCAATTCCACCAAAATTTAATGATAACGGTTGTTCATGATGATATAATGGACTTTGAAGTATACCAGCAGGAAAAAAGATGTGATTTGAATTTTCTTTATAAAATGCATTTACAATATGAACTGGTAAAGACCATCTGTAAAGATTAATATAGATAAGTAAGTTAGAAAAGAAAAACTTGTGTTAAACCTATTTGCATTTTATTGGGAACTTGTCAGCTAAATATACTTGTAATTCAATTAATTATGATTGTCATAAAGATTGAAATGTTACAGTTATCAGCAAAAATCCATAGATATTTTACAATATGCCAGTAAAATATTTATAGCCATCATATTTTCAAAGTTTTGATTCTTAATACTGTTTACGCTGTTGCAATGACTATGTACAATCACGATGTAAAGGCATTCGTAAAATTAGCCTATATGTTAAAACATGTTGATACTTGGGATTTAGCGAGAATGTATGCATTTTAATGAAGTCAATCTAGGTTTAACTATTTCGTCATATTCATAAGCATAAACAGTTCCTTATAATTTAAAAAAAATATTTTACATTGTGTTGTGACGTGTGAGACTGCAGGTTTTGATAAGCAGCGTTTTATTGATCGGTTCCATTTCCCTGTCTATCCTAGCCAGTTGAGTCCAGAACACAAATCTCAGCCTCTGAGTTATGAATCGTTATATTTCAGACACACTTTGCTTATATACCAATCAAGCATACCACATCGTACCATAAAATAGAAAACAACATTTTGTACAATATTCAACAAGTGAACAGATATCGACCAATAGGAAATGTCCATTTAAAGTCCAAGGACACCATTGGACTTAACATGATAATTATTGGTCTATTCCTCCGCATCCACAACACATTGATACAGAGGATTAGACTGATTCGTCTGTGTTAACAAATTAATTTCACAAACCAGTGACTACGTACTGACGTTCATGTAGTTGAAGGATATGAGTTATTGGTTGAATCCATATAGTGAACTTAGTTCAGTATACCAATAAAGATTGGTAAATCAGAAGTTAAATATTAACGATCAGAAACGTTACTCTATAAAAATAACGGCAGGTATTCTACATGTTGAACAAGCGTACCTATCTTCTTTCAATTAGTGAACTGACCAATGCTTTTAGCTTTCAATCAGTATCTGAATCACAGATCTATAGCATCAGCAGCTCTCACATTAATAGCATGGCTCAATAACAAATGCATAGACTTTTTATAATGAATAGGTAACATGAAAGAAAAACTTATAATTTAGTGGCTTAACCAATATTGATCTAGCTTTCAAACGGATAGATACATTATTTGATGATTAACGAGAACAACAACATTTAGAAAAGATAATTCTAAATGAATGAACATGTTTTATCGGTTTTATTTTCGATAATTCACCAAATTTTCATCATCTAATTCTTAAAATCACTTTCAATATTTCAAAGATCTAAACTTTTGTTACTGTAAATTAGATCGATTGAGAGATTACAAGTTGGACAATACAGAATGAAACGATTTGTTTTGAAAAAATTTATCAGTTTACATTGATGGTTCATTTTGTTAAATCTTGTTACATGAAATTTCTATACCAGTATACTTAAATAATTTACAATGTTAATAAGAAAATTTGATTTATCACTTTATTAAAATACTGAATTTAAATAAAACTAAACTAGTTGCCATGGTATTTATTATTCATGAATCAAGCTAGTTTAGTTATAAAAATTTTTTTTATAGAATAGTGATCTGTTATTTTGAAAAAAACCCTGTTAAATGTACATTTTTTAAATATTTTTATTACATAACATGTTTATCTTTGAAAGAGAATTTTACTGGGCTTTTTTTCTTTTTTTTGTTTGTTTGTTTGGAATTTGAATACAACCATTCAGTTCAGTAAGATTAGTTTAATTCTAGATTGTATAACAGTTAACATGAATGCTTTGTTGTTTAAACTAAAGTCAATGTCAAGTAGTTCGAATCTGTGAGATTGAATCAACGCTTATAAAATAAATTAGTGTAAATCAATCATAGATATTCAGTTTGGTTGAGTTAGTGATTTCAAGTCACTTTATAACAATCAGCATTATTCTTTAATAAGAATAAAATATACGATGAATTAATCTATAGTTGTTTTTAAGATTATGCTAAATCTTTAAACATTAGTTATCATTTACTAAATAAGGACTAATAGCAAAAGTGTATCACGGTGAATGAACAACCTGTTTTTCGATGAAAATATCTAATTAAACATTCAATTGCGTATTTATAACTGTATTTCAAGCTTAGAAAATATCTAGGCAGAAATTTAGCCTAATACCAAATGAGATTAGTACATTACTGACTACCATAACATTAAATATCCCTTATATAACCCGCATTAATCCATAAACCCATAATTAATAACAATGAATACTATGCACAATGCAAACTAATGCGGTATATTAAACGTTGCATTTAAGTGTTTTTCAAATTAACTCATATATTTCTTTCTCAATGTGATTATTTCTTTATAGAACGTATTTATCACTAGAATAAATAAAAGATCACTTATATGAGGGTGTTTATTCTCATTATTGGATGTTTGTTTATATAATCTATTCACAATACGGCTATAAAATTGTACAGCTTTGATCATAGTTCCCAAATTTATGATTAACTATATTCTTCAGAGAATTCTTTTGTCATAGTCAGGTTTTTTTTCTATTGCTCATGCCATTTGTTTGAGTTTGCGAAGTGAAATAAACTAATTCAAACAGGCATTTTCACTAAAAACCAGAGTAGAACTTCTTACTGTGTCTAAATCATAGAATGTTCAGATCTATTACGAAAATGGTATACTAGATATTAAGGCAATATCCTTCACCTAAAATTAATTAACTCAGTTTTATTGAAATGACGGATCTATGATACTGGAACAAGAAAATAACCGACGTATTCCTAGTAGATGTTCTTAATTAAAACGTTCAATAAGAATCGCAAAACATTGGGATATAACAAATATATCATTAGTTTATTATTAATAATCTCTCAAATACTCAGATTACTTGAAAATATCAAGCTAGAACTTGGTAATGATATTTGCAAAATGTTTTACTTGTTTTTTGGTCTATATGACTTGTGTGTGAACTACTAATCAATTATCCAAACTAAGGTAGATTAATATGGATTATAACCTCTTAATTGATGTTTAAAAGTCAAGTACTTTTATCACTACGTTATCATTATTAACCTGAGTGTTTGTTAGACATATTAGTAAAATGAAATTATTTTCTGTGTATAAAATAGACTCTAATACTGACTGATTGTGTAATTAAACGCAATTACTTACCATTATCATTACAGTTAAATTTGAATAACTAACACCTATGTTTGACAAAAAGAAGACGAATAAACTTTTACTCACCTATCTGGATCCTGAATTATCAGTTCTCGTAGAATATCAAGAAATAATGCTTCAGAACAATATAATGCATTTTCAAAATAAGTTGATTCATTCAAATCAACCTGAGAAACAGAAACAGAATAATTTTCATATCCAGTAAACTAAAAATATTTTTTAACTGAATAAGTCAAGGTAATCATTCTTAGGTGTAACTCTAATTTAAGAAAAAGACAGTATAGTAAATGATTCATGTTCGCCTTACAAAAGGACGTAATTATAAGATGAACTACAAAAATTATTATTTTTATTATCTTACCTAATTCAGTCCATTCCGACTCTATATGTTATCGCTAAATCTATGGTGAATTTTCGCTAACACCATCTATTAGACTATAGTATTCTTCAATTCTATTCAAAATTAATGGCGTCAATTGTTCATAATCAAAGAAAAACTGTTTACTGTTAACTTTGTACTCTTCGTGTATATTTGTAAGAATTTTCATGATTAGATTCACGAAGTAATGTCTCCTTATGACTTTCTCGCTCAAAAGAGATTGATTTATTCTTATATTGACTTGAATAGAACTTTATAATATCATGATACATAGAGTGTCTCTACCTATGTTTTATGAACACAAAGTGTCTGTTCACCAATGATTTTGTGGCAACAATGGCAATTTAAAATCTATCACTCAATTGGACACTATCCAACAACTTTAACAAATTTGTATTTGATCATGTTATCTTCATTATATTATTAATGTTTTTCTATTTGTAGAGGAGTGAATCGATGATCTATTTTTCATCCAATAGTTCATATATTCGTATCCTTCTTCGATAATTTCTGTTTGAGCAGTCAGGTCGTATCATTAACCCTCAAGCAAATAGTGTGACTCAAAGGAGCACACATAAACACGAACAAAGTCACCGAGTTCATTAAATTAAATTTATGTTTGACAAGTAGATTCATCTTAATCTTATTTAACTGTTCTTCATTAAACTCTTCAGTTCACGGTTTTGTTTTATTGGCATTACTTTACTTGTTAAGAAAGTCAAACAATTTGTAATAAAAAGCTAAGTAGTCTTTTGAAATCTCTTTAATTTATTCTTTTCTTCATTTAACGCTTCTCAGTCAGATTAAACATCTACACTGACATTCGATATTAAAGTTAAACTGTATTAGTTTCACACACTCTAAATGGTATAGGTTTGATGAAAACAAACTGTAAAACTAGTTTACTTATTCAGTTACAGACTATTTAGTCATAGTTTTAAATCACTCTCTATCTACTTCTGTATTGACAATCGAGTAGTACATCTAACAGAATGCATTAACCTGAACTTATTGAGTTACTAATAAAACTAATAAAGACCCTTACATTCTTAGGTAAATTCGATTAACAAAAAAATAAAACATTATTTCTTTAAAATAAAAATGAATCATTTAAAGAAGCTAATTAATGTTACATTAAGAATAATACATACTAAATATAGAAATACCTTAAAGCAGTATTTGAGAAAAATTTACTGTATCCTTTCCGTTTTATAAATAATGTATGTTATAAGTAGTTAGAAAATTATCGGTTAAACTTTAAAGAGTACTTCTTTGATTTGATTGTTGTTAATATTAGTCTCAGCCACAATATGTGTGAATAAATTCTCAATTGTTTATACACTAGGTAAAAGGTTCAGACTAATTGACAATCAGATTTATTTGGTTACAATTTAATAAATAAAGAATATAATTATTTCACAGATTGAAATCATGAGTCAGTTGAAGCTAGACCACCATTGAAAACCTGGAAGCACTGGACGGCCGTTTCGTCCTAGTATGGGACTCCTCAACTGACTCATGATTTCAATCTGTGAAATTTCTAAAATCTCCACAAAACCCATTCTGATAATAGTAATCACCTGCTCACTAGTGACTGACTTCAGGAGACACTTCTGGAGTTCTAGTGAGAAGTCGTTACCAGTGGAGTTCAACCAGGTCTGTTGTGAGATAGGAACTCACTGAGGACAATGGTGTACGGTAGCGCAACTTCGTGGATTGGTTGAAGTTAGACATTAACACCGTTGGATGCCGGCTCAGTGGTCTAATGGTTAAGCGCTCGCGCGCGAAGCCAGTAGGCCCTGGGTTCGAGCCCCGGGTGATGCGGGGTCGTGGATGCGCACTGCTGAGGAGTCCCATACTAGGACGAAACGGCCGTCCAGTGCTTCCAGGTTTTCAATGGTGGTCTAGCTTCAACTGACTCATGATTTCAATCTGTGAAATTTCTAAAATCTCCACAAAACCCATTCTGATAATATAATTATTATTTAACGTGTAGTTTAAATAGAAGGGAATTTAAAAGATATAATTAAAGTTTCAATGGCATGATAGAATACTAATTCTGTGACAATCGGTCTTGGGAGGCAAAATCCGACTCACACGTCCGCGTCGTGCCTCCTGGATAATGAGGCGAATGACTCATGAACTAACGTGAGCGGTAACCCGGGTGGTGGATATTGGGCTAATCACCCACTATTGCCTATACCCACTAATCGATTACGAATCCCACAGATATACATAGAACAATTACATTTGGAATGGAAAACGGCAAAAAACGTTTTCGAAAGTGGTGCATGTATCATATGAAGTTGCTCGTCATTGAGCGAATTCCAAAGGATTGCAGAAACAAGTATTCTAGCCACGGTAGTTGTGCCGTGCTTTGATGTGGCCTGTTTCTCTCCAGAAAGGCCTACTAGGCTTCACCAACTTGTTTTATTGGAAGGCAGGGGAGGGTGACAATCTGTTTTAATAAGTAATTTTGGCATGAAACTGCCAGACTGATCATTTGAAAATTATCTAACAATTTATTTTATTCTGTTGTTTAGGAATCCCAAAAAGAACCATATAGGAACCCCGGTATTAAGACAAAAGAATAATCTCATCAGAGATCCATTTATACATTTTTTTTCAAAATCTACCCTTTTTAAAAAATAAAAGGATGTAAAAGCTTACAGAAATTTTTAATCATAAAAAACATATGGTGACAACCTGAAACTGTTAAAATAATTTTTGTATATTACCTCATTTATCAAGCAAACATTTAAGTACTTGGCTTCAAACAACATTTTCGGTGTAAAGTCTTGTGATATTAGGCAATCGCTTGAATCGAATTGAGTAAAATGGTAATAAAATATGTAAGCTACTGATTTAAAGATCATTGATTTATTCAGTAAGTCTCATTAATTTGAAACTAGGATAATTTAACAAACTTCCCTCAATAAACTGAATATCAATATCAAATTCAGTAAGGACAATAAAAATGCTTTACGGGAACTAAATTACACAAAGATATTGAGGTACTTATGTTAAAGTATTATTTTGCCAATAAAAAAGAATGTTAATTTACATACATTTTAAAGAATTACAAGGATATTAACTATAAAAATGTAAGTATATAAAATCAATCTAGTAAATGACAGAAATATCTTCATACATAACTTACAAAATATGAAAACGCCTTATTTTCTTCTGTTATATTATCAATATTTTGTGGATAACCAACTGATGCTTTCATTGAATCTACCTGATAATTGAATTTTCAAGAAAAATATCTAAATAAATTTTACTGAAATTAATTTTTATCATACCTTTTCAATTGCTTTAAGTTTATCCGCTTCTTGCATCCATTCGACACTAGCGAAATTCTCTTTAAATGCTGTCTTAATTTCAGTTATCATTTCTGTAGCCTAAAATTTTAAAAGTAAATAATGATAATAAATTCTATTGCTGATATAGTGAATATGTTATTAGTACAGTATAAAAGTTCAGATTCACCTATTATAGTATAACTGACATAATGTGACTAAAATATTGTTTTGGATTTCAGTCCTAAATAAACTTCATTGAGACTATCATATAAGTTCATAGATCGTTGAATTAAGTTTGGTACAAACTTTCATGTTAAGGAATCTAAAATCTTAAGAGCTATCAAGTCATTTACTTAGAGTAACAAACTTGAAAGGACAGTAATTCGTTACTAAATTAAAATACAAACAACTTAACTTGAATTAGTATTCAACATTGAGATAAAAGCTACAAATTTATCATCCACAGATTATTGCGATATGATCATTTTACCAACAACTCTGGGTCAATAAGTTTTAAAAGTCTCATATTGAGTTCATGAGCCAACTGGAGTTAAACGACCATGGAAAACGTAGAAGCACTGGACGGCCGTTTCGTCCTGGCATGGGACATCTCAGCAGCGCGCCTTCACGACCCTGCGCTTGGGATTCGAACCCGGGACCTCCGGTCTCGCGTGCGAGCGCTTAATAACTAGATCACTGAACCAGCATCCAACGGTTTTAATGTTTAACTTTAACCACTCCATGAAATCGCGACACCGTCCACCATTGTCTTCAGTGAGTTACCATCCCACAACAAACCCGGTTTAACTCCACTGGTCGCTGCTTGTCACTAGAACTTCAGGAAATATCCCTAGAAGCCAGTCACTATTGAGCACATGATGAATATTGTCAAAAAGGGGTTTTGTGGAGATTGTAGTAATTGAATAGTTGAGTTCATGGGTCGATTAAAGCTAGACCACCAAACCATCATAATACATTGTGTATACACTGTTAACTTACTGATAAAGTAGTGATTAATATCGTTCAACAGTACAAATATTTTGAATCTTGTTACTAATTAAACAACGACATTACAACTAATAACACAGAAAATTTATTTTATAATTAACTTACCGCTTCCTTACTTTTCTGATTAAATCTTTCGTGGACAAAATGTCTACCAATTACCATTCCGAATGGAACTTGTACTTCGTTAACGCATATCTGCCAGCGATCTGGATCAACTTTCAATCCTGAGGACAGATATAAAACAGTTTAAAATGTTATTCTAACTGTTATTCTGCTGTTGGATTTAACGATTTACAGATAAATGAAAGAAATTTTGTTTGAACCTTTATCATTTGAAGTGTATGAAAATAATGTTTAAAGAACTAGAATCTGTAAATTTATCCGTTATTAAAATGACAATGCACTCAAATTTATGGACTATCATAGAGAAAACAGACAAACTGGATTTTTAAACATGGTGAAAAACCTTTTCTGCCATATTGCGTTCAAATAAGAAAGTAAGCCAAGCCATCATTCAGGTATGAATCAAGAGAAAATCATAAATAAATGTTTCATGAGAGCTAACTGACCATAGTAACGATAATTTGCGTAACACGTTTGTAGACTTTGTTCGAGAAAGTCAAAACAAGCTCTAGAACATTTGGTTGACGAAGTTTTGTATCAAATTATATTATAGACGTCTTTGAAGAAATTTCTGACATACTTACTTACGTTTGTTACCCCTCATAGAGAAGTATAGGCCACCCACCAGCATTCTCTAGCCAACTCTGTCCTGATCAATCCTTTCCAGTTCTTTCCAGTTACTATTCATCCTTTTCATGTCTGCATTCAATTCTCGACAAAGTGCGTCATTTGGTCTTTTTCTTTTCCGTTTCCACTCACGACTCCAAGTTAGTGCTTGCTTCGTAATGCAGTTTGATTATTTCAGCAATGTATGTCCTATCCACTTCCAACGTCATTTCCTGATCCCTCTTCAATCAAAGGCTGGTTTGTTCTACCCCACAGTAGGGTGTTGTTGATAGTATCCAGTCAACGGACATTGAGTATCTTGTGCAGACAACTGCCTATAAATACTTGTGCATTTCTGACGATGATTGTAGTATTTCTCCACGTTTCAGCCTCGCACAGTAGAACTGTCTTAAGGTTAGTATTGAAGATTCTCACTTTGATGTCAGCTTACAGACAAATGTTTCGAGTTTCATGTGTTCTTCAACTGTAGGAATGCTGTCCTTACTTTATCAGTCCTTGCCTTAACATCTGCATCGGGTCCTCCTCTTTTCCCGATAATGCTGTCCAGATACGTGGAAGTTTCCACCTCTTCCTGAGTTTCTCCATCAAGCGTGATTGAGTTGGTGTCCTCCATATTGTGTTTGAGGATCTAGGTTTTTCCATTGTGCATACTGAAGGCTACTGATGTTGAGGCCCCTTCTACACAGGTTAAGTTGACCTACATTTGTTCGTGTGTATGGGATAGACGGGCTAGGTCGTCTGCGATGCTTATGGAAATTATAATCACACCATCATCATACAATTGATAAGATTTTTTCAGTTGAATATTATTCTTAGTATGGAGCTGTAGAGGTAGTTGAGTTTCAATGAAATCACGAACTAATCTAAGTAAGGTCACCATTGAAAACATGAAAGCACTGGGAGACCAAAACTGCGCGAAAATTTTCCATTGTCTTCGGTGGGTAACTGCATCATATCCGTCACAGTTTAGTTCTACTTGTCACAGCTTCTTATCAGAAATGCGAAAATTTCCTCGCTATACTAGTCACTAGTGAGCGCACGACAACTGTAAGTATGGGGTTGTGGAGATTACTGGAGTTAAATGCCAACACCGTTTGATGCCATCCTAGTGGTTTGGAAGTGAAGCATTCCTGAGTGATATCGATGGTCCTGGGTTCGGTTGCCCTGAGAGGGCACGTGGATGTGCATTGCTGAGAAGTACTACATCAGGACGAAACCGTCTTCCAGTGTTCCCAGGTTTCCAGTGATTGTATAACTTAAATGGGGTCATGTTTTCAACGAAATGAGATATTAATCAGGCTTTATTCAAATATACAGTAATATTTAAATGCATATACTAAAAATACAAAACTAATCAAGACTATTTGTGAGTCAATCGTAAAAATGAAAAAAATATTGCACAACTTTTTATAGTAAATAAAAGGTATGTAACAGTCACAGTAGTAAATATAAGAATAACAAATAGCATGAAAACAAACAAATATACTGATAAAGGAAGTAGGTCAAAGCTAGAAAAATAAGGCTATTAAAATAATCATGACTAAAAGTTACGTAATTAAAAGTGTGTGGATAGTAGTAAAGATAACATCGTAAGTTAGATAGAAGAGGAGTGCTGGTTTGAATGAACTAAACAGATTATTTGGATGGAATAAAATCAATACTGAACAACACTACTAAATTACTAATCTTACAAACAGTCAGTATGCAAATGTGGAGGCAGAGAAATTATTAATTAATTCCTTTGAAGAACTGAACTTTAAATAGGTAACTACCACAACTATTCATGACATATATTCTTGTACGAGGTTAAATGTTTCGCGTTCGATTCCAAGCTGCATGTTCATGAATACACAGCCTTGTGAAACTCCATACTAGGACGTACCGGTCGTCCAGCACTTCAACGCTTAGAATGTTTTTCTAACTTGGATCTGTTTATGGTTTCAGTGAAAAGAACATTAATCACTTATATATGCTGCTTTAAATTATGATTTAGGAAGTTTTATTTTATGATACGGATTTCTATTAAAGTTTCTAATCATGCTTCCTGAAAATTACCACCAAATTTGGCATTCTTCACATATGCACTTTTAAGTGAACTAGTAGAAATGAAGTCGTATTCAGCATGATAGAAATTTTGGTTGATCTACATCAGTCTTGCAAATTTATATCATGACCTGATCTGTTACACCATAGACAGTTTTTTCCTTGATTTGTAGCACTTTATGTAGCATTTTACGTTTTCAAACCCTACATGAATTCATTGTAAGGGCGAAAGCAAATGTGCCAAATAATTTATTCAGTGTGAAAGTATGACAAATATCAAAAACACCTCATGTTTGAAAAAAAAATTAAACAATAACCTATACTGACAATAATCTTTTGATTACTTTTTAAATAAAAACAAACAAACATCATCGTTATCTACCTAGTTCTGCTTCTCTGTATTCTTCCAACATTTCATTAACTTCTTTTGGCATACGTGGGACTGTTCTCCACATAAAATTCCATACAGCAGTATTGTGTAAAGTTCTATATAACAATTTAAGTGGAATATATATTAATCATAATTATTCATTTCATAAAGACTAGGTTTCAAATTTTCTATAATATGTTTGGTCAAATGTCTGTAATTGTCAATCTGTTCTTGTTTGACTGTAAACACTTAATTTTACTATCACAAATGATGATATCATAATTACTATCATGAACAATATGCTTATTCGAAAAATATAACTTACTAACCAAACTTCTGATCAAATTTTATCATACTAATAAGATATTTAACTTTGTTGTCGATTAAAAACAGTACTTTAGATGAAGTCATAGAAAAATTACGTTCAAACTTTAAAGGATGTTCTTCTTATTCTATTCAAAACATTTCTTATCTTGCGTCAAAATGTTGAAAATCCTAAGGAGTTATATTTTTCTGCTGCTTTGTGGTCTCATATTTATCTTCATAAAACACCCACATAATCATTTTGCTTTTCAGGAGCAAACTAAACTGGAAGAAGCTACATCTAGTGAATAGGCAGGGTGATTTAGTGTGGTGGTTGAATTGCATTTAAGTTTTTAAAACATTATTTAATTGACTTCATTTCACGTATGTAACAAAGAAACTGAGAAAGTTAAAAATGTCATTGAATGATGTCCTGGAATAGGACAAAACGGCCATCCAATGCTTTCAGGTTTTTCATGGTGGTCTAGTTTCAAGTAACTCATGATCTCAACAGTTAAAAATAAATTATTAGGTATAAACTGATTTAACTTAATCGGTTGATTATTAATATTACTAATAACCCAGTTTACATACTTATTTGATACATCTTATGTAATTCATTAAAATTAGGCAATTCAACAAATTACACATGGTTAACTTAAATTAAATCATCAACAAGATATTTATTCAAAATATTTAATTAAGCTATAAAATTAATTAATCTCAATCACAACCAATGGATAACAAATCTTTCTTTCCTATTTTAATAATATCTTTGGTAAACATACCGAATACCGTCCGCTGTTTTCAAATATTCTTCATATAAAGCACATCGTTCTCTGAAGAATGTACGATCATGTAATGCAATCACTTGATCTTGAGAAAGCTTGAAGTTTAGTGGTGCATATATATAGTCAAATAATTTCGTCCAATTAAGCTATTGAATAATAAATGAAAGTGTAAAGAAATTTGAAGACAGATCGTATAGCCATCATTCTCAATTAATGAGATACTATGATAAAGGTAAATTAATTTGAGTACGTTGGACGATGATCGATCGGTTGTACGTTAATTTTAGCAAATTCTAGGTCTATGTGTTGAATAGCAAAGTTTACTTATTATAGTTTTCCATAGACTCATGTATATCTACATGTTATCTTTGAAAATTATTTAATGGAAATATTTTCACTACGCCCAATGGTCTGGGAAATTTTAGGAGACTAAATAAATGAAAATTAAACGCCTTCAGATAGATTATTGTTAAATAGTTAATACTTTAATTAAATATTTTCCTATCAGATTTTTATCCATTAAAAGTCTATTGTAAATGATGTTTTTGATAAACACACAATTTAGGTGATAAAAAGTCACCATTATTTTCATTCTCTTAATCTGGATGTAATATTGACGAAAGAAATTTACTGCAAGCGCTTATATACTTGCCATATCCAGTAACATAATCTGTATGAAATGGAAGATAAGGTCTAAGTAATAATAACTTCTTTTCAACCAGAGAACTGCATGGTTTATCAGCATATCTCATTCACCCACATAAAAACTCTGTATTAAATTCTAGATTATTTCAGTAGGATGTGGTTTGTATTATTATCACATCAAGATAGAATACTTTACTTAAATTTATCTAAAAGATTGTAAAAATGTAGATAGATGTGACAAGAGGATAAAACTCAGACTACAATAATGAAAATGCACTAACTAATCAACAGTTAGGTGAGACTATAACTTATAGACGATCTTTGGACGGTGTTGAATGGACCATGAGGCTGTCTACCTAATATTCATAACCAAACGAGGGTTATAAACCAATAAGAGGAAATAAAATTATGATTTGCAGTTGATGGTCAATGTTAGGAATTAGGTTTAGGGTTTTCATCACGAACTGACATCAGTTATAATGTCAAAACTCCATTCAGCCAACTAGATGAATGAATTTCGCGTCCAAATCCTGGATCTGTTATCTTATACCCGATATGTTCGTTTATAAAGTGTAGTCTCGTCAACAATCATTATATTACTAAAATGCTCGAATCTAAGAAAATTATTTTCAGGGAGATATTGATAACAAACATATAAAATATCCAATTTATAGCTACATTACAATAAACAGCTGTACGAAGAAGACCTTTTTTTCACTCTGTATAAATTAGATTACAGAATTATATTTCGTTTCATTATCTTTAATATGTACATAAACTAAGTATAATATGGATTAACTCATATATAATTAAAACTGACCACAGGACAAATAGAAGACAAATTTTGTAAAGTGATAAGTTCGTAGTTTTTCTCCGGGTCTCTTTCACTACGGTCTTCAGTTCTCTGTTAAGATAAGTAAATTAGGAAAAACAATTTATTGTAATGTAAATTTACGGAATACTAACAGGATACACTTGATCATTTTTTATGTAGGATAGTACATTTTTATGGCTTTACCATGATATTAACGAAAATTCCTGCTCATTATTTAATGTAGTAAGCATATCTGGCTTAATTATTGGATAGTATCACTGAAAATTCCATAAACTAAATGCATATTAGCAAGTAGAGAGTTTTGATTTACATTGAATGAAAAAATCTAAATCATAGCTGAACACTTCGGAAACGGTGGAAGGAGTTAATTATTTGTTTCTTGTTTATTCTAATCATTTCGAAGAAGAAAACTTCAGTAATAATGTTAATTCATAAACACACAAGATTTGTGCTGGAAGTGATTAAGAATGTATAATCTCTTTTCATCAACTGTTCAACACAAACAGAATGTCATTTGGGACAACATAAGATTGGTAATTTCATCGTCCCGTCAAAACTTAATCAACAGTACAACAACATGGATTAAAGAAAATATCTAGACAAATAACATCATAAATAAGAATTTGAACTTCTGAGCTTGATAAACTGTCAAAAGTTACGTATAATTTATGGTGCACTATGGGAAAAGAAATCTTGCTTAGAAAAGTAAATCACCTTTAAATTATATAAGATAGTTCGAAAACTTAATATAAATTATTGTCAATGTATAACAAAAATTAGCTTAGAATCAAGCTCATCTCTACAAACGAACTACTGAAACGAACAGTTAATGGAAAGTTTGAAATCAAGTCAAAATCAAATCTATTTAATCAATCTTTAAGACAGATACTTGACATGTTGGAAAACATATGGTATTGTTATCATTTATACGATTCAAATAGTCCAACTTGAGATATTACCCCCGAGTTAATAATTTTACGGAATAAGACATAGGAAAATTGAAATGGATGAACTCAAAGAGAAATATAAAGGGAGTATTATGCCTTATCTAGAACATATACGATGAGACGAAAAAAGTTTTTTCAGCAGAACTAACTGAAAACATATGTAGTTGAAACGTATTTCTGCATTCCGAAATAGTTTATATCCCCTTACATTTTCAGATAATCTTCTAAACTAGGTTCTAATAAACATGACACTGATGTAGAAATTTCTCATGATTACTTCAAAAGCAAATATTGCCAAAAACTATTCAATCTTAGCACTAAATCGTTTAATTATAAAGTTCTTAATGTCACTCATAAATGACCTTAGGTGCTACTGTAGACAACAATATTAACCACATAGCAAATAGACTCTAATCGATTTGTATTCACTGGAACAAACAAGCAACAACCATAAAATATTCTTACTATAAGTAAAACAAATAACTTAAAAAGCACTTACCAATGCAATCTGTTTTTCGAATTCATAAATTTTATCTACTTCATGTAACGACGACTTTGGCACTCCCAACAAGAGGGAATAATTCCGCATAAATCGACGAAATGCTTCAGTTTTCTAAAGAAACAAAATGTATACAGAAGAGCCAACGTTTAATTTCATAGACTTAATCGTGTTTATATATTAAATATCAAGAAAATTCATAACAATAGTACCAATGTGTAGTGTACATTGATACGATGTTTGAAGTAAATGATAAATACTTCGGACATTACAACCCGGTTTGTTTTTCTTTAAAATATATTGAAAATCTCTTCCTGTTTAGACTTGTTTATTTGATCTCCACTGTCAGAGTACTTTTTGAACATAATTGGAGATTTCCATTTCAATAATTAAGACCATCATTAATGGATTTTTTTGCTACATATGCCTAATTCTCTTTATATTCGGCAGATAGAAAACATTTATATAGAAGCAGTATATCACAGAACAAAATCATATTCATCTGAAGAATGTTCTCTCAGTATGGCTGATGAACTTCCATAGAAATATTCCTTTCCTTAACTCTACTCCTTTTGTGCAAATTATCTCTAGAAGTTCTCAGAAGTCAGGTTCTTCAGCTGATTCATCATTCCAAACTTTGATAAAATCGTATGTACAAACGATTTTCGCAGTAACTTTTCAAAGTTAGTCACCTAACTAGCAAGTCGATGTTTAAAAAAAAACAGGGGTTAACATACTTTAGAGATTTTAATCAATAAAGAATACTGATTGTAGTTGCATCCTTATGAAAATCGTGCTCACCCTAAAACCGTTAATTCACTTTAAAAGGGTTGCATTCTTCAACATGACATATGTGCCTAAACGGAGCTGAATATTTCATAAAAACCCAATAATCTTAACAATTTGGTTTCCATATCTATTACATAGATCGTATATTTACTCACAACAATATATCAAAATGACACATTGATAATGAAATTTTATGCTACAATGTATAAAAGTGAACAGTTTAACTGTCCTATCAAGATGAATTGTAAGAAATATTTTCTGAAGTATAAGATGAATCATTTCACACTAATCTAAGGAATTCAAATCATCTATGTCATCATGTATAATACAATATAGGGAAGAACAATTCCAAGTATCATTATACAAAAATACATCCTTCAGCAAGACTACATGATCATATATGTTAAACAATTATTGTAAACAAAAATATTCTCGAGTAAATTTCTTAGAAATCCACATTCGTAAATTGTTCTATAAGCGGAAGTATCGTAAATTAGCTGCTTCATTAATACTGGACACATATTTATTTATACTAATGTAAAGTAATTAGAAAACACAAACTCACTTTTGAATAAGCTGGATACGAATCGTTCACATAATATTCTCTTTGTAAACTAAGATATCCTTCTGTAAGCTTGAAAATAAAACAACATATTAATTATTTATCATACTATACATTTAATTTGAATTATGATATAGTGAGAAAACGTTCGTTGAACATTTCAAAGTTTATAAATTATAATAAGTAACTACTTTAGAAGTTTTGATTTGTTGTCAACTATTTCTTTTGTATATTGTCAAACTAACTATATAGTATGCTAAATGTTTTTTTGTTGTTGATAAGATATGTAGGTATTTGGATTGATGTTAACAGAAGAACAATGGTAAGCTAGAGGATACTTAACAACTGTTTTGTCCTTGTTTCAAAATATTTAGCAATACAATCTCATGATATCACACAAAAATATATATCCATTATATATTTCAGTCTCACGACTAGAATAACATCCTTTGAGAAATATTCACAAACTAGTTTTAATGATGTTCGAGGTAAGTACCAAACATTATTGCAAATAAAATGATTTCCCATAAATCATCATCAAATTTTCTTTAAAACGTTTTCTGTTTCTTTATAGTTTTATCATGTTTTTCACTTCTTACTTAATACTTCAGATATCTATATTTTCCTTTATATTAAACATTAGACCCTACACAATTTATTGGGCTAAAATCATATTGAAACATTGAACAGCTAAGCAATATATCTTTGTAAATTGCATTTGATCTAAAATATCAAATCGAATAACAGAATCAGTTCAGGCAGTGTCCCATATTTTATGTTGCATAAATGTGAAATTATAATCAAATACCGTAGTGTTATTTAAGGAAGTTAAAAGTGATCCTTTTGCTTGGTAGAATTTAGGTTTCATAAGAAAAATGTTAGCAACAATTTTTCACTACTATAGCTTAACGAAGATGAATACAGTACACGATAACAAGTTTAATTATGGCGTTCATCTGAGTTCCAAAATGAACTGGTTTCAATGATCAACTGTTCATAAACACAATAATTAACCTATGCCTGAATAAAAGTATATAGAAATTCTACTTACATCTATTACAAATCGAGAGGAGTTCATCTGATCTTGTCCAACTAAAATACGGCATAACGGTGTTGCACCTAAATACTTCAACAGAGGTAAATACATATCTGTTAAATCAAATGTGCCAGGACGAAAACGATCAGCATTTGTTTCCCCGGCTGCTGGATTCCCAGACGGCAGTAATAACCAACCATTAAATATTTTTTTAATATAATCATAAAGAGGTGTCAATCTTCGACTTTCAATAAGAGATTCATTCATACATGAATTATAGTATATTTGTGCCAAAGTGAAACCACGACTATTGTCTGTATGCGAACGATTTTCTATAAAACATATAATAAGGCACAATTATCACATGGATAAGAAACATAGTATTAAATAATAAAATGATCAACTGATCAAGTTTTTTATTATCACAACAAATAGATCGTTCAAAACTTTATTATTAAACTGAATAAATGTTAGGAATCACATCTTGATAAAACTCAAGCAAGTATGATGAATGCAATTAATAGCTGCTGAAAGCTGAATCACCAATGACGAAGAATGTTGGAAGGCATAACAACATGCTATATGTTCTAATATTTAATTAACAGAATACTGATTTGAACCTAAGAAGAAATTTGATATCAGAGTTGCTTTGAATTGACTTTTTTGATAACTTGAAGGTCCCTAGCTTGTTCTCATACCTCATTAAATAAATAACTTTCAGTACAACTAAATGACTAAATACAGCCTATGTTATTTTATCTGCAAACGTTTACCCAAGTAAAATGAGTTTTCAGTTTTGTTTGTAGCAGTGACTATATACAAAGGAAAACTAAATCAAGCTATTATAAATTTCTTGAAAATCCTGCATTCAGTTTCCTGAATAAAAAGATTTAGAATACATTTTACTCACCAAGTAGTTCTTTGGTAAAATGTTCGTCATATTTGGATAGTTTACGCATTACAGACCAAGAATTATGACCTTGTGGTATATAATTCTGCTTTATCCACCCATTGCAGGAATATGCAAAGAAATCATCACAAGGTGATACACTTGTATCCATATTGCTAAGAATTTCTGAAGCAACTTTGATACATGTAGGTTCTAAACAAGGGTTATCTGTAAATAGCAGAAAAACGTCCGTTATCACTTTGATATAATAAAGACTATTATTTGGATAGCTAACGTATTAAGGGACAACATTATACAAATAAGTTAAGTGTTTCTTCTCAGCCTAAGTTATTTTCCCAAGTAAGCTACCTAATAGGTATTGATGATGATAACTTTGCTAAACATGAGAAATCTCGAAAATGATAATAAAAGAAAAGCATTTAGCAACGTAAATTCTTTGTAATCACATAATCGGTAATTAAAGATCCACAAAAAGATATAACTCAAAATTTGTAACAGTAAACTAGATTCATTTATGCGTCAGTTTTCCTTGAAAATTTAGAATATGATGCTAGTCTTCTGAATTTATTTTTTTTTCCTAAGTCATTTCTTCTGTTTTTTGAGTTTGCTCTTACATAAGGGTAGTAAAGTATGGCGGTAATAATAGTAATAATAATAATAGTAAAAATTACACTGGCTTTATTCAATACTATTGTTATTATCAAACTGCATCGGCTTTCATACAGCAAATCACAAGCGTAACATTGCGATAACCTAAAAGATGAAAGGTTTTGAAAATTTCAATCCTCTTTTTTTTCTTCTGTAAATAACTCCTTAAAAAGTGAAAACGTTTCAAGTAGTATTTTCTATAATTAAGAATTAAGTTGTTAAAGATTAGCCCATAAGTTAAAATGACTGGATTGAATGTACAACCTGAATATTGTAATATATGAAATATAACTACCTAATGAATTATTATTCCTTTAAGTTGTGAACATGAAACAATGTTTAATATTTCATTAACAACTAACTTGATCAACAGTCTTCTGATAATGACTATTTTTTTATAATCAGAAGTAAATCAACTAAAATAAATGAATAGATCTTTTAAATTTATCAATTATTATTCAAGATAAGACGTAGCAATGTAATTAATACCTTTGATTGTAATCATAAAATAATATGAATTTCAAATCAACACTTAGTATAACTCTTTACACTATTAAATCAATTTCAAACGGTAGACATTAAACAGAAACCCTAAAGTATTTTTTTTGACTATCTGTAATGATTGAACTTAAAGTATACCGTGAAGAAACTTCAAAAGTATCAACATAAAACTTACTTGTAAATACTTTAGTTAACATCATTAAGTCTGGATCTAATGCATTTCTTCACTCATAACACATGGAATATTTTATAAGATGAAAACTATGAAGATACATTTAATGACTATTTCAGGTTTTTATTATCTATTTATGATTAATTTGTGTCACTGAAAGTTATCCGTTAAGATTATCAATATAAAGAGAAACAAAGCGCATTTAAAACTGTCAATTGAAACGGGATAGATAAGAAATTTCCGGTTATTATTTGCATAGGTTTAATTCAGTGTTAAGAAATAACGAAAAAAATGAGTTTGTACAGGCTAGTTTCCTCTATATCTGACTTTAATAAATGATATCCCGTTAACTGAGTATTTAAGGCAGGCTATATCTCCTAGTAGAATTATGGATTTACTCGAGATTATTCAGATGCTAAAAGTTCATGAACGGATGGAATTGCTAGTTGTTCATTTTATCATCTTCCATTTTACAGAATAAGCATATTTAACCAATAAGTTGAAATTTTAGATCCCACTTAATTCAGTCAAACACAAATATTGACTAGTTTGATTATTTCACGACTGTTCATTGTTAATAGTTGTGATCCCGTCATTATGTGACACTCAAGTTTTTCCCAAAACTTTAAAGCTGTGCACTTGTTTAACAATTATAAAGTTAGAAGCTTTAGTGAGTCTTAGGCTAAATCTTGTTTGCACTTCCATGGTAAAGGTAGTAGAATTGTTGGCGAAATTATAATTTATGGACGAACCAATCAGGTTTAGGATAACAGGTCTTAGATTTTTAGTATGAAATTCATTCATTCATTTGGTAAACGAGCGTTTTAGGATTTCAGCTGATGTCAGTTATTGATGAAAACTTTAAATACAATTCCTAACCCTAACCATCAATTATAAATCATAATCCATATTCTTTATACGAGTTTATAATTCTCATTTAGCCCTAGTGAGTAGGTGGATATTCTCAAGGCCACCTTAACGTTGCTAAAAGGTCGTTCATAAATTATAGTCTCACCGAATTGTCTAATCAATAGAGTTAATAATGTTAATCTGCAGAACCGATTTTTAAAACTACATTGTTGCATAAATTACTTACATAACTCAAAATCATCTAAAATCATTGTTTCAAATAATCCCTTTTTTCTCATACATAGTGATATAATTTATCACAAGTCACGTCGTTAATATTTAATTTTTGTTGTTCCAAGAAATTCAATTACAAACATGTGATATGCTTTTTTAACTTTTCCTTAAAGGATTCAATTGGATTTTGTTATGTTAAGACTTTTGAATAGAAATAATTTTATTCACTTGATATTGTTTTTACTTGAATCTTCCCATTGATGTTTTACGACTGAAATTGATCAGTCTCTTATTGGCATATGTGCATACTGTGCGTATGCCTCGATATTGCTTATAATGCTTGTAAATTAAGGCAATATCGAGGCATACGCACAGTATGCACATATGCCAATAAGAGACTGATCAATTTCAGTCGTGAAAAACACATCAATGGGAAGATTCAAGTAAAAACAATATCAAGTGAATTAAACTTCACCCCATTGCACAAGCAAGTGGCTATGAGGACTCAGCAGCTCAGTGGATAACACGATGGCGTTTGAAGCGAACGGTACTGAGTTCGAGTCCCAGAGTGAACATCAACTCTGAGATGCAGGTACATCCAGCTGACGAGTCCCAAACAGGACGAAAGGTGCGTCCTGGATTCTACTGCTAGCCACTATCCATCTTTGCTTAGAAATAATTTTATGTTTGCTTGTTTTGCAAAATTACATTCCTCTTAACGTTAGACAATTCATAGTAAGAAGTACAGAGTCATTTAGAAACACCGTTAGATGTCGAAAATACATCTTTCTGTGACAAATTGTAAATGTGTTAAGATATATCTAGTGAAATGAAATGATCAAAATGAATGTATTGGGATACGATTAAAAGCAGTCACCATTATATAATATTAAAAATCTTTCAGAGTAGCAAATTATATTTCTTGGTTCTGTCGCGTACGCCGAAAGCATACGAAAAAAATGTCTCAATGATACTATAACTATATATTTTAAAATAATAGACAACGTGTTACTAATAGTAAAAGATTTAGCATCAATAAGCGTCGGCTTGTGTAGTAGTATTAATAGATATAAAGTAATAAGCGTGAGAAATATGGTTCACAAAGAAGAAAACGAAAAATGAGAAGTATGTGAAAATTCTATGTTCAATATTTCAGTAAAAGTAAAAAATTAATTGAATGTGTCTGGGTGATGAAGAAAACTTTAAGGTCATTACTTATGAGTATTTCAGCTATGATGTATACATCTACTAACATGCCGAAAATAAGGAGATCATGTGAAATGTGTTTCTGAGCACTTTTTAGAGAAAAATGTGAATTAGTTGTCAAAGTCTGTAACAGTATGATCGTGCATCATTTAATGAATTGTAGTCATGAAAAATAATCGTTAGATAAACTAATGCAAAGTCAAAGCGTTTTACTTACTTTAAAAAAATTTAAAACCTGTCCATGAAATCAGGAGAAAGTAATTGTGAAATTACCGCTCTCATAAATAATTTAAGATTTTTTGTTTACTCATTAACAAACTTATTTAATACCCCGGTCATCTTGAATATGTGGATCGACTGAAGTTAAATAATGAAAACCGTTGAATGCCGACTGATTGATCTAGAGGTTAAGCATGTGCGCGAGACCGAATGTCCTGGGTTTGTGCCTTACGTGAAGAGTTACGGATGCGCACTGTTGAGAATTTCTGTGCTAGGTAAAAATGGTCATCCAGTGTTTCCAGGTTTTTGGTGGTAGTCTAACTTAGATCACATCTTGGTTTCAATGAAAAATCTCGAGTACTCCTGTTCTCATCCTAAGTTTTTTTTGAACCTGTGTAAATTCTTCAATATCTTCAACGATTTATTACGTAATCTGTAGGGTTACCTTGTTACTCATTTTCAAAGTATTTTTCAAAATGTTCTATACATATACATAAATTCAGTTGTATTCTTTATTACATTTTAAGTATTCAATATAAACTGGTTTTGATTATGAAACACTATGTTATTCTTTAACATAATCAATATATATTATATCAGTTCAATTAAGACAATAAGCAGTTGACAACAATCTACAAAATAAATTGAATTTATTATAATTTAGCCGTATCTACTATTCTTTCATTACAATACAATTTATATCCTATTTCTACATACTATTCAAATCTTTAAGCAAAATATTGTTATTTAGCCTAATGGTTTGAGGCAATATGTTCAAGTTAAAAATTATCTTTATTACAAACTGATATCGTCCGAGAACAGAATTTTATAATTTGAAAAGATTGAAAAATGTTTTTTTTAACGACAATGAAACTTTCGGGTAGTTAATAGTAATCTGAAAAGAAACGTATTCTCATAAAATTATTGTTACTTTCATTGATGTAGCAGCAGCCTCAGCAGCAGTAGGTCTCAATATACACAAAGGGAAGAGCAAGGTTCTCCGATACAACACAGCATGCACCGATCCAATCACAATTGACGGAGAAGATTTGGAAGATGTAAAAACCTTTACATATTTGGGCAGCATCATTGATGAACAGGGTGGATCTGATGCAGATGTGAAGGCGCGGATCGGCAAAGCAAGAGCAGAATATTTACAACTGAGGAACATCTGGAACTCAAAGCAACTGCCAACCAACACCAAGGTCAGGATTTTCAATACAAATGTCAAGACAGTTCTACTGTATAGGGCAGAAATCTGAAGAACTACGAAAGCCATCATCCAGAAGATACAAGTGTTTATCAACAGTTGTCTACACAAAATATTTCGGATCCGTTGGCCGGACACTATTAGCAACAACCTGCTGCAGAAGAGAAC